AGTGCGTTTGATGGAAATTCAAATACTTGAGCGATAAGACGAGAGTGTTTTTCGCGTTTACAAGACCGTCTTGAATTTTACGCAAGAACATTCTGAAACTGATAGAAACACTGGCGGGAAGCAGGAGTATCTTTCGCAGTTGATTTTTTAGAATTGAGTAAAAATTGATTTTGCGCGAAAGCACTTGACTCGAAAATGAGATAGTTCGCCTAATCGTGAACGAAGACGTTGAGTGGCGGATGGACCAGCCTGGACGTGGCCCGCGGACAGGAAACTGAAACACGACTGCGCGAAAAATCCATGTCAATAATCGCGAGAGAAGTGCAGGCGGTGCGCGGCGACTGTGGGTAAGTAGGTATGGAGGTGAGGCCGAGGTCGAGGTCACTCGCTCTGCTCGCTCGCTCGCGGCGAAAGGTCATTATCGCTCGCCGATGTTACGCGTCTCGCTTAAGCTCTTTCTCTCTCTTTACTTTTGCCGAGCGACGCGAGTACGGGAGTCACGCGCGCCCTCGCGCAACGCTATGTCGCGTCTCGGGTGTAGTTTTCGCGAAGGCGCGCGCTCGCCTTGCCTACTCTTCCTGCAGCGCGGCGAACTGGTTTCAGCCGCCGCGCGCGATCACCGCTATACCCGAGCTTCTACGTCAGCGCGAGCTTTATTTGCCCGATAAGTGCTTTTAATGGCTCTCGCTCTGCACTTTAATGTCGAGGCGATCGTGCAAGCCGATCGTTTACAGTTTTCAGCGCTGATTTCAATTAACTGTATTGCTGCTATTAGCGGCATAACCGGCATGCCGCGCATTTCCGTACGAATGTATATTTATACATTTTCTTTTCTCGTTTGCACGTGCATTTCATTTGTTCTCGCCCGAATGCCCATCGACAGCGTTGCTCGCGACTATGCCAGTGCACGGAAACGAATGCATCATTGGGTCTAGCCCGTTATATGGATAAATCGCGAAGCCCACTTTAATGCGACGCCTTTGTGCTCGAGCGCGTATCTGTCCACCCGATCCACGTGGACACCGCAGCTGAATCGCCATCTTTCAGAGTGATCCCGAAATGTTGCAACTGCGATCGAGGCAGTAAAAGGAAAATTGCTTTGCCCGTCGACCTATACACGGAAAACCTCCCTTGGCGCATTTGTATGTGATAATCTCATGATCAAGGATTCGATACATTCGGTTTATTGATTTAGCTGTGCGAGTTTCAGATGTAAACAGTAGCTTTAATGCTATCCTGGTAATAAATCTGCTCATTGCCGAGAATCCGTGCAAGCCATTTGTTTGACGATCCGAGCTAAAAGCGCAATGTTCGACGACTGTTCGTCCGCATAAAAAAAGAGAAGAAAAACGCGATCGATGCTGCGAACTGCATAACGAGCACTCGAGAGCGAAAATGAAGCGTCGACCAGCGAATAGCAGCAGGGAGCGAAAGCGGCAGCGCCGCGCACTTACCGGCGAAAATCGAATCGACGAGCGGGCGATCGACTTCGCTCGGCGAGACGCGCCCGAAGCCCAGCGGAGCGTGCGCAGGGCAGCAAGAGAGCACTCGACGGACGCGTACGCGGAACAATCGAGCGCAAAGGAGGCAGGGCAGGCAGAGTCGACCGAACGACCGGCCTAATGGATAGCGCAAGCAACTGCAGTGCATTAAACGCGCGCGCGGGACGTCGACGTGATCCGCCAAGCCCCGCGCCGATGTTTGCCTTGGCGCTGTGCAATTAAACGTTGGAGCCGCCGCCGCCGCGCGCCTGTTGGGATAACTGATTTGTAGGACGTGCCCCCGCGCCGGCTCGTCATATTCCCGACGATCCTCGAGCCTCGAGCTGTGTTTTCGCCGTGCGCGCGTTACACTGGCATACGGCTGTTCCCATTGCTTTCCTACGGCGTTACTCTCTTTTTCGCATCTGTTTTGCCGGAGCTCGGCTCTTTCACGAGTACTTTTCATCGTTCACTTAATTCAATTAATTTACCGGCCTTCTTTTGGCTTTTCGGATAATTATCGATATTTCTCAAACGTTCAAAATTATTTGTAACTGCATAATGGTGACCGACATGCTTCTGTGTTTCGCTTGAAATGCGACACAGAATGTCAGAAGCCGACTCGCGTATTTGTCGAAGAGTCCCACGTAAAGCTGTCTGCGAAGTGCTCTTATCGAAAACAATCCGTCATTGCCGAAACCCACTTGTCCCGTTGGAAAACGATTTTCCCCGACATGCCAGACGGTAGCTGTGGACCATATCTTGGCTAGGGCATCTGTCACATGTGCCTGTCCCGCTACGCGCTAGTAGGAGAAGCGAGGAGGACCGTAAGCTCTTGCGCGTGTGCAGAGCGAGAGAGAGAGAGAGAGAGAGAGCTGCGCGAGTGCTGCAGCAATGATTTATACGGCGGCATGACGAGGCAGCGCGCGCGCGTGACAACTCTCATCGTCCAATTATCGCGGTCGAGGCGAATTACGACGGCTGCTCAGGTGGCCGTAGCCGGGCGCGATCGCGCCCACCCTCGCGTGTCCTCGCTTCCCAGTATACTTTCGGCGCCGACGGCCGCTCGTCTCTCTCATTTTCACCGGATGACCGTGCACTCGTCCAGTCCCGTTTTTATTCGCTCGGCGGCGTTGCCGTCCGAGGGTTATCGCATTCCGCGCCGGCTGTGAATGTTTGCCAAACCGAAAGCGCGCCGTCGGGCTTTCAATGCCTGCGAACGGGACGACGCAGCGAAGCGCGCAACGAAAAGATAAAACGCGCGCGGAGCGGAGCCTGGCGCGCGCAATCAGCGAGAACCAAATGAAGAATCAGTTCGACGACCCGCATGATGCGCGCGGCAGGCAGCAGTAGCGAGAGGAGAAAATTCTATAAGGCGCGCGCGTAATTTGATTTGCATTGTTCGTGCGGCTCGTCGTCGTCTGCCGGGCTGCTGCTGCTGTTTGCTGCAGTTGCTCGTTGGCATAATTGATTCACTTAAATGAAGTTCGTGGGCGTGACAAACATCACCTCTTCTTCGTTCTCCCTCTCTCTCTCTCTCTCGCTCTCTCTCTCTGCGCGTCGTTATACGGCTGTGGTAGACGAACTGCCGGCGAACTGTGGTAGGCTGCCGATGCTTCTCTCACGTCGACGTTACGGCCGAGTAACTCGCCTGCTGCAAAAAGCGCTGATGAGCTGTCAGCCGAAGCAAAAATCTGTTTGATGCTATTTGGTTTTTTTTCCTTCGCTACTGAACTTTCTTCTTTATATTCTTCTTAGACTTCTTCTTCGTTTAACCGCGAAATTTTCATGTCTATGGATTAAAAAGCTTACGTGGCCTTTTTATTATAACTATGGCCAATCCAACTTTTCGTATGATGTGTATTATTGTAAAGGATAACCTATGAAAACGAGCGATGGCTGATTGGCTATTACTCGTCAATGTTGATGCCGTGAGTTTTATAATAATTAAGTTTGAAATCGATAAAATTAGAGAAGAAATGGCCTCCGCAACGATGAATAATGTAGTTTTGTTTTTGGCTGAAAGGGAAACGGATGGCAATTTGGTTGTCTGCAAACGAAAACACCCTTGTGAAAACATAACAAGGATTGCGTGTAACGCACGGTTGTAATTTTATGACGACTTCAGGCAGTTTGCTTGCTAGATTAGAGTGAATTTACTTGCCGTATAAGCGGTTTCCATGCGTTATGATAGAAAGAATACCACTTTTCCCTTTACTAATCTTTGAATACCCAACGTAAAAGTCGCGGTAGAGTGACTTTATAAATTGATGCGAATATGACCTATCCGAAGACGTCTCGGTCGAAGCGATCGATCGGCTAACAAGGACAGTTAATCGTTTGAAAATGAATCCGCGTATCAGCGTCAATGAAAGCTCGCGCGCGAGTGCTGCAAAACAAGGCAAAACAAAAGAAAAATGAAGATGTCGAGGAAAAACTTGGTCGACTGTACAGCAATTAACATCAGAAGGCGAGTTAACGAACCAATGAACCCGATACACGATATAACTTCTCTTGCCGGCTGGCTGGCTCGTGAATTTAATCGGAGCCCCGGTATCTAGCGCTGTATATAGAGTTCGCCGCATGGTTCCACAAATCGACAGTGTATACGGCGCGCACACCCCGATTAATTCCGCAAGAGATAACGGTTCCCGCGGGATCGGGTGATTTTGTTATTCGTTATTTATTGCGCGCGGAAGCTCAAAATCCAATGCCCTGCGAAGTGCTGTCGATCCGAAGCCCTTCGCATGTGTAGCGGAACTGTTGGTTATACGTATGTTTTAAGTGGGGGCAGCATGCGTGAGAATGTTGACGTTGAAGCTCGTTACGCGCGCTCAAATGATTGGGTGTTCTGAAGTAACATTCGACCGTGAAGATCGTTGCAGGATGCAAAGAAACGTGTTGCTTAATCATACGAGCATTCGAAGTTAATCCAGAACGGAAGTCACGTAATCTGGCAGTAATCTCGCGAGAGCCAAAAAATCAAAAAATAAATTAATAAATAAAGGAACAAGGAAAGAAAATTAAGGAGAATGCTACGGCAATTATGCAATCACCAACTGGTGCTGCAGTGTATAATATGTAACCAGTGAATAATCGCTAATATCCGTGAAATAACGTTACCTTTGCGCGCGCTCGTGATTTGCTTTTAGAAGTTCGATCACGACGCTTGAAAAATAGAAACGCGGAAAATCGCGCACCGGGAGCGGACGGTAATTTGGCGCTCGCGCCTGTACGAACTTGGTCGACGATGCGCAGGCGCCCGCGAATAAGTTATTGCTTAGCGTAAATATTTACGAGGTCGGATTTATTATTCGCAGCTCTATCATTTACCGGCGGGACCGTGATTCCGCCGGTCGTTCTCCATTGTGTCGCGACCGGCCGTTCAGCCGCGCACGCGGAAAGCACACGGCCGAACGATTCTCCTCCCGTGCGCGACGGGGCGAACAATACGTCATAAAGCTGCGAGGATGATGCTGCGCAACGGGCTAACAATTGCAAAATGTTGTTCTGTTTCAGCGTACGCGTCGGCCTCGTGTCCGAGGATCTGCCCGACGAGCGGCGAGCCGGTATGCGGCAGCGATGGTGTCATGTACGCGTCCTCGTGTGAAATGCGGAAGAAGACTTGCGGCAAAGGTAAAGCCACGAACGAAACAAAACAAAACAAAAAAACAAATAAACAAAAAAAACAGCGCACTCCATTCTCCTTGCGCGCATGCAAGCCGAAACGCTGTTGCGAAGAGAGCAAGAGTGAGTGAAATAGTGGAACGGGATGGCAGAGAGAAACAGCGCAGATGGTGTGAAAACTAGAATGGCCTTGAATATCCTAACTGTAACTCGTTCCTCTCGAGGCTTGGAAAAGTAAGAACGAAAGGGGAGGGGAAGCCCGTTGTGTACAATTGTTGCATGCGTTTTCATTGACTCGTTTGTTATGGCTGTTGTTGTTTTTATTCTCAATTGCATCTAATTTTTCGTGCCATTGAATATGAAAAAGGATGCTTTATTTCTCCTTACATCCGCATAGTTCTGAAGGGTTCGAACGAACTTTTTTAACACCATACTGGTGGTAACTTCGCTTCAAAGTTTCGCCGGTAAAACTTGGGCTTTAGACCGATAAAATAAAATTCCTTAGATACTTTCTGACATTTTAAATTGCACGCAATAATCAGATAATTGGAGTAAAAGTGCCTGGGTAATGAGCCAGCGTAAAAAAACAAATTGAATCCCAAATTTACTGAAAGTGCATTCTTCTCACTGGTCCGCAACAATTTCATTAGGCGATCAGATAAGGGCCTCTGCGGCAACGGAAAGGAATTCACGAAGGGGAGGAAACAACGAATTCGCGCGCTGGCATCTTAATTACGAACGAGAAGCGCGTGCACGGGTTGAAAAAGAAAAAGAGAAATAGTCTAATTGCGCCATTATCAAGCCACGTTGTTCGCTCGTACGACGACACGGTTCCGAGAGTCATTGCTCCGACGAAGCATATTTTTTGCGCCCAAATTACAGCCACTGCCGCCTGGCTGCGTACACTAATACGTCACTCGTGACAATATGATTTCGGCGAGTTCTCGCCGTGAGTGGGTGGGTGGCAGTTGCGCGTTGTTGCGCCGTTTGCCTCGCGAGACGTACTCGAGTACGAATGCAAGCGGTAGAGGGACTCGCGTGCACTGCAGCCAAACGCGAGAACGAAGTGAGCGCGCGCTCGCTTGAAATTCATTATTCTTCAATGCAAGTGCACAAAGATATTAAAAGCCGTTTACGCCCGTTAATAATGATGAGTCACTCGCGGCGTTTGCTGCATCCAAGATAAGGCGATGGTATGCGTGTCGCGTATATATTTGTGACGATCCTATAATCCTCCGAAAAGTCAGGCCTTGAAACGGGCGTGCTATTGCAGGAGTGACGGTGGCAGCGGAAAAGACAGCCTGCCTGCGCTCGTCGGGTAGCAAGTGCGAGCACCGGTGTCCCGGCGATCAAGATCCGGTGTGCGGCACCGACGGGCGCACCTATCTCAACAAGTGCATGCTGAGGGTGGAGGTGTGCCGAGTTGGCATCGAGCTCTCTCACCTGGGCCCCTGCAACAACATCTCCGCGCACAGAGAGAATTGCCCGGTGTCCTGCGACTTTGCGCCTCTCGACGGTCCCGTTTGCGGCAGCGACGGCAACGTTTACAAGTCCACGTGTCAGATGAAGCTGCTTACGTGCGGGTAAGTAAAGATCAATGGGCTCGATTAGACGATCAGCTGCGTATTTAGCGCTTGCCGACAAGACAGCCGATCCCGAGGTACTCGAACAAGCTCGTACGGCCGCTGGCAGATGGAAGTTGCAAGCGAACAAATCACAAGCGAGAAAGTGCATTTCACACTGCCGCTGGATAAGAATCTTTGTGCGCGACGTCGAGCGGCTTATCGCGCCGAGTTAGCAAACACTCGAGCTAATTCACGGATGAAAATCAACCGAACGCATAAGCTTGCCAACGAGAGCAACGTCACTCGGCGAAACGTGGGAAGCGGGCGCGAATAACGCGGCGTACATCCGGGGTGAGAACGAACGCAATCCGCGCGGATCGCGTTCGCGAGAGAGTGGATGGGATTTTCATTCGGGCGTGCATTTTCTGTTTGGCGCACAGGCAAGGCGTGGTGAGGACGAACAAGAAGCACTGCCAGACAACGAGACACTGCCGGGAGTCCTGCTGGCGCGGCGCCAAGCCAGCTTGCGGCAGCGACGGCATCCTCTACGCGAACACCTGCAAAATGCGAGCGAAGAACTGCGGGTAAAACTGCGCATATTTTAACTGAATACCGACGAGAGCGCGGCTTCAACTCTGACCTTCTTCTCCAATTCGAACGAAAATCCGGTTGTCTTTTCTTTCCGTTGCAGTCCGAAAGAGCTAGTTGAAAATTGACGCTGAATTTATTCGGGCGCGAATGAGCTCATTTGGCAGAGTGCCTAATTCACTCGGACGAGCGGCTCCCAAGCTGCCAGAAGTAACATTGAAATTGTCTACGTTACATTCAAAAGCTCGACGTGCATCGAATCCAATCGTAATCTGTTTGTTCCCAACGTTAATTCCATTGCTGCTATTTGATAATTAAAAGCGGTAAAGATTTCTCGCATCGATTGCGAACGAGCAACCCGATGCCTTTACATCGGATACGCAGAAACTTTATCGCGCCGGTAAATTTTCTCTGTAAACTTAATATAGAGCGAGTGGCAGACTGGTCCGCCGGGAAAGCTCGCGTAACCCAATTTATCTGATGTACGTCCAAATTCTGCTCAAAGTTTCGCGCCGGACGAACTTTTCCAACGGAGAGCGCCTCTTCTTCTTTTCTCTCTTTGGCCGTGGCCTTCGTTCGGGTGCAAGAGCCGCGCGTAACCGGGCAAAAAGTCACAATGGTACGACCGAGAGAAAAATTGTTGTTCCTCGGCAGGAAGCACGTGTTCGAAGTACCGATGTCCTTCTGCGTGTCGCGCGAGAGGACTTCCGGCAGCCCTGCCACCGCTTGTCCCTTGGACTGCAGGAACGAGGCGGAAATTGCAGTTTGCGGTTCCGACGGAAACATTTACCGAAACGAGTGCGAAATGCAAATGCTCAATTGCGGGTGAGTTTTCTTTTGCTCTCTCTCTCTCTCTCTCTCTCTCTCTCTCTCACGTACCATCTTTCTGCGCGGCCTGCCGCGACGAGGCGTTGGCGATGCGCTCATCTGGAGGTGCTTGCAGAAACACGAGGCGAAAGGTGACGAGCGTCGACTTCGAGAAGTGCCGCGCAAAACTGTCGAGGTGCGTGAAGCAGCAGCAGCACTGCGGCAGCGAGGTCGATCCAGTTTGCGGCAGCGACGCCAATACCTACCCGAACCAGTGCCACCTGAATGTCGCCAATTGTCTGTGAGTCAGCGGCATGGACATTTTCGCAACGGCGACGTTAAGCCCGAATCTCGCCGTACTCAACGCGTCGTCGTATTTTCTGCAGGAAAGGCATCCAGCTGGCTCACGTGGGCGAGTGTACGACCTTGAAGGAAAGCGAGCAGTGTCCTGAGGACTGCAACGACGTCCCCGAGGAACCAGTTTGCGGCAGCGACGGCAATGTCTATCGGTATGCATATATGTATATATATGTGTATATATGTATGCGTACTTAATTAGTCTTAAAGCACAAGCGTCTGTTACTATCTTATAATATGCCACTGCCGACTGCGCAGCCTGGCTTTGCTCCTCTTCTATTTTGCGATCGCAATCGTGCTGCTGACGACGACGACGACCGCTGAAAATCATAACGCTAAGCTCGAGTCAAGCTATAAATACACGCGGCGTGCGCATTTTTGCTGCGCCGTCGCCATATCGAGCCATTGTTTTGCAAAAAAAAAAAGAGAAAAGAGCAAAAAAATAATTTTGTCGACAGATCGCTGTGTCAGCTGCAAAAGGAGACGTGCGGTCAGCGAGTCGTCCAGGTGCCGGCACAGCATTGTCGCACGACCGCGCTCTGCAATCAGATCTGCAGCGGGGAAAGGCAATTCGTCTGTGGCTCCGACAACAAACTCTACAGAAACGAGTGCGAGATGAAGAGGGACAACTGCGGGTAACTATTGCATTTCAGTCGCGTGTCTAATTGATTAACACGAGCGATTTCTCACGACTTAACGAAAGCAGCCGACGTCTGACAGAACGATATCTCTTGCTTCGCATTGCATTGTATCGGGCGCGGTTTCCGCGGTAATGGGGCGCTGAAAAACGTCACGCCAATTTCAGGAAACACGTGTACGTGGTGCCGATGAAGCGGTGCGTGCAGGGCTTCCTATTCCGAGGCTGTCAAAAGATTTGTCCACCTTATTACGATCCGGTCTGCGGCACCGACAGCATGACCTACAGCAACGAGTGCTTCCTTGAGATTGAAACCTGCCGCACGAGAAATCACGTCACTAAGAACTATCACGGAATCTGCGGACAACCGACCGAGGAACCCAAGAACTATCTCTATTAAAACGGAAATGCAGCGAGATGTAGGACTGAAATTTGTTGTCAAAAATCATTATTTCTTTCGAGATCGGGTGATATCAGCTGGAAAGATTTCAAATTGAATTCCGGCTCATCAATCATCCCTTTATACGTAATTTTGTATACGAGACTAAAATCAAATAATTAGATGGCCTTGATATATATGTATACATTAGTGATCTGAAATAAATTAATCAGAGCTTGTAAGCCGCGTAGATATGTAGAATATCGTTTTTATTTATTCTATTTGTATATGTAATTTTTTAATTAATTTATATTGATACATATAGTAGAAAAAAAAAAAAGAAATTAATGAAAATATTTAGATGCATATATGAACATTATGTGGCGCCGTGCGATGGACAATCACGAAAGTGCCAAGATATGAAAATCGAGAATAAACGCGCACAATAATGCATTCGTATTCTTGCGACTATTTCAGTGCGCCCTTACCTGTTTAAGTATATAATTATTTATTATAGATTTTTTTATGAAGCAACAATGTCTATGCTGTTATTTTCTACGCGAAGGAATGGAAATCCTGATTATATATTGCCTTTACAACATGTGATGTGTGTTCATAAACAAAACTTTGATTACTATTGTATTGTACTATTTTTTTATTATAACTGTAATATTTGTATTTTATTATCTTTAATCTCATCTCATACCATTAATTTATTATCGAAATCAACATATCTGACCATCGTCTTTTTGTTATATTTATATTGTATTCGCTCATCTGCTATTGCAATAAACTTATATTTTATATCTAGCTCCTTGATTGTCGAGTTATTTTAACTAATTAGAATGAATATTTTTTCCAGTTTTACAGTTATTATTTAAGGAACAACAGTCTGAGCCACGTGCGTGGCTAAAATGAAGAAACTGAAGGATTAATTGACAACTAAATATTTATTTGCTTAGACTTTTATGATTATAAATCATAATTTCAAATTAGTTTCTATTTTTGAACAATTTGTCGCAGTTGTTGAAACAATACGCTGTCACAAGTGGGGTATAATCTGGAATTTAAAAAGTTCAGGTGTAATCCAAACATGTTTTATCAGTTAATATACATAGTATTATACTTTTTATTTTATGTTCGAATCAATCAATGTAATTGCCGATAAGAAGTAAAATTGAAAACGGTAGTTACAATACTAAATAGAATAGATAAATATTTAAAAAAATAATAAACTTAAATTTAAATAAAATAACTTACTTCCATCTGAACACTGTGTTAAACATTCCTGTCTGGTATTAGGCACTGTAATTTCAAACATTATTAATACTGGCGTTGTTGAGCGCCATAGCTCATTTTTTATTTTATGATATTTGTTGCATTAATCAATCCTTTTGCATGCCAACTTTAAGATTTTAATAGCAAAGGCACATGAATAAATGAATTAGTACAAAATATTACGACCATCGATATTTAATGATAAATAAAAATTAAATTAGCATTTATAATTTGACAAGAATCGATGAATTTTTAGTCCTTTCGGAAGATATCGAAACATTATCTCAAATTTTCAACGAATCTACGATTGATAAATATGGAGTTAACAAAATATAACATAATGTAATTTTTTTTCACCCTTTTTAAGCATCATCGATCGTAACACTGGATGCCCGTGATTTATAATTGTTTTAAGATAGGAGGAAAATAATTATATCCTTCAAGAGTGCAGATTTAGTGAAAAACTACAAGTACGTAAGCAAAAGCTCTTGGATAAAAAAACTATTTTCGTTTCGATATCTCAAAACAATAGCAAAATTATTTTAAAAGAAACAAGCAATATAATGAAGCGAACTTTTACCAGGTTATCGTGAAATCTCCTAAATTTTTACTTTAATTATCTTTACCTTAAAAAACTTTTTGTATAATTTATTCAAAGTCAAAATTAAAACTTTCAAGATAGATGCCTCTTAGACAATCAATTATTTCTATTTAATGTTTTTCAAATATTTTTGTAAAAGTAAGCAATAAATATTTGAAAAAATTAGATTAATTAAAGTAGTAATGAATATTTTAGGTGTCCAATTTTCTAAGAAATATTATTGATTACCATGTGCTAAAGGATATTCTTCACATCGATTAGCACATTCGACTTCTCCAGCTCCACGGAAACCTGTAATTTTTAATTAAAAATAATAGAATTTTATAAATTCTTTGTAAATTTAATGAATAGACGAATCTAACATCAAATCATACCATTCCAACAATCCTTCCAACATTCTTCTTTTGAACTGTAAGCTGAAAGTAAAAATTATACGTTTTATATAAAAATTAATACAAAAAGTTTAACCTTTGAAAGGCTAAACAGACTAATAAAAGTTTCAACAATAGTAAATACATGTTGCCTCCGAGATAGCCCCGTAGAAACAGGAAACCACAAGTATGCAAAAAAAGAACTTCATTTTTTTCTCAATCAAGCGAGTGTTTAACCTTCTATCAAAGTCTGAGTGCAGATAAAACGTTTGTTACTTTTATATGATGTTGTTGGACCCAGCTCATTGGAATATTAACCAGCAAACATGATAACGTAGGTTATACCTATAAATCATAAATTTGAGCGAGATAGATAAATCTTGCACGCGGTTAATTAAACAGTTCCTCATTAAGAATACATTCATGTAAATTTATTTACGTTACGAATCTTCTATGACGCGCTTGAGATTTTTTTTTCGTACTATAGATCAAATATATATGAATCGCTCTTAATATGACTTTTAACACGGTGATATCATTTTTTCGTACGATTTATTTCATTCTTGAAATTAAATTTACTTCGAAAAAGTGTAAATCTTTGTAGTAAAGATTACCTACATATTTTGATTACTTTTCTTTTTGTTCAAATAATATGTTATTTAAAATGTGTCCTACAGATCGCCAAAAAGATAGATATATAGGAGTTGCACAAATTGCTACAACATTTTATTTTATGCTGTCTCTAAACATAGTTTACTTACTGTATATAACATTAATGTATCTTATTCTAATTCTGTAATTAATAATTTCAAGCTCCGGTCATAAAAATAAAAAAATATTTTCAAGTTCTAAATGTTTCCTTTTTTCATATTGTCTTTTAGTAAGAAAATCGTAATAATTATTGTATTTAATATTTCCAGTATTACGAAAACCTTGCAGAACTCCAAAAGAACCATATTCAATGATCTAATATATTGATGATCAACTAGAAAACCAAAGAATTCATCGTCTGTGTCAATATCGAAACAAATTTATGAGTGTCAAAGAAAAATGAAGATGATCAGATAGCATTTTTCTATACACTAATTAGTCATTGTCAAGATACGTAACAAAACTCTTTATGAGATTTCAACAAGTGTTTGCTATGTCAGACTTAAAATTTCTACCTCAAACTTTGTAATCAAAGCCGTATAACACAGTTCGGGAGAAGACGTGACAGGTGAACGTGACGTGAAGAAAAGTCAAGTAAAATTAAAGAATTGGAAATACTTGATCTACATGTTTATTCTGTTCTGTTATTTTGAATTTTTATGGAAGGAAAAGGTACTTATTTTTATTTAACTCCATTTTAAATAAAAATGTTTATCAGCAAATGCTAAATTAAATATTATACTACTAATATGACTTATTTGATCGCTTCAAAATGTAGTATTCTTAAAATGTAATTAACTTTATTATAATACAATAATCGAGAAAAATTTTTAGCTGATTATGGACAGAGATATGTTCTTATTCAAAATCAAATTTATTCTAAATTATATAGCGATTGATTGTTTGAATTTTTATCTTAATTAATGAAATATTTTTAATTTTTGTAATTCAGTAAACCTAATTTTACTGATTGTTACAATTATAAGTTAAAACTTCAATGAAATGTTTTCTTCCTTTAGTCGAGTATATAACTGAATATATATGATGTGGTAATTAAGACAATGTTATATAGTCATGGAGCTGCTGAGATGGACAACGCTAATATAACTTCAACAAGTATTCTGTAACAAAAGATACGGCAATAAACTTATTTTAGTGTAAAATGATAATTCAAAAACTACAATTTTGCAACGCTATCGAATATAATAATACATTTTGATACTAGTGTGAGAAAATGATTTGATCCTCGTGTAAACGTTTGCGTCCTAGCGAAGCGAAAGTGGAAAGGACATACGAAAATAAAATCACTTTTCGCACAAGTATCGAACTTTATTTTTTGATACAACGTATGTGACGCGATATTTCAAGCATGTTCGATTTCTCGAGCGTGCGTAAATCGAGTGTCGAAACATACAGAGCATTAAAAAATAAATATGCTCATAAATATCCGTATGTGCTACTGTTATTTCTCCGTTATAGAATACAGTAAACTTATATAGATCAATTGCACTCGCGTTTATAACTGTGTAAAACAGCTTATAGAAGTGATACAATATTTGTAGCTTAATGATATATAATATATTTTCACGAATAAATATTTTATCTGGGGGGAAATTTGCTTTGTACGACTAGAGAATTTCTAGATCTATTAAATTAATTAATTAAAAATGCTCGTTGATTTGTCAATTGCAGCGCAAATTTGCTTTTATGTACGAAAACGGTTCCATGAGCCGAATATGGGTATCACACGGGGTCTTGTATGATCGCCCAAATGACTGTCCATATGCATATCACATGGTTACCAACGTCGAAATAAAAATACCCACAACGGTTAAATAAGAAGTAATTTTTAATATTAATACAACACTCTTTAATTCTTTGTAATTTTAATCGCTTAAATTTTCATTTCCCGTGTGGTCGCCAACGTTGCTTTTTACATTATATTATAATTCGATTTGATGAAATTATGGCTGTACTTTTAATTATGAAGATTGTGGTTGTAATGTGAGCGATACGTAGATTCACTCATACGGTTACCCATATAGCTGTTTACATGTACCCACGTAGTTGTACACTTATATGGAACTAATACCGCCAACAAGAAGAATTCGGAAACTTAAGTACAATAATGAAAAATGTCAAGAATCTATGAACCGATGACTTTATAATAGAATCAATAATATGTACATTGTAAGATAATAGCCTCTCATAATATGTATGAACAATAAAAAGCTGCGCAATAAATTGCTTCAATTTTTCCGCCTGATCTCTGCTGTTTTTATTTCGTCCCGAAAAGGTCAACTTTAAAAATCAACTTCACTGAGGGAAATATCAAATGAAGGAATGCAAAATTACCTTTAATGGTTAAATTTTGTTAACAATAATAATATGCGGCGGCTTTTAAATAGACGGGCATAGGAGTCAGAGATTAAAGATATGGACAGAGATTAATCTGTCCATATCTTCTTAAGCTGTATTTTATTTTTCTAGGTTCGCTAATCTTCCTAAGTATCGATGAGAAGAAAGCAACACCGACCAGCTAACAATGCCCGAGGAGGATATCAAAGAAGCCAACCCCGAACGGACGGACAGAAGTTCTTTGGCAGCCGTTGTCGCCGACGCATCTTTGACTTGGGCAACCGCCCTTTCCAACGCACCTTGCTTGTGCCGAGCAAAAGAG